GGTATTTGTGATGTTTTGTATACAAATAGCACAGGCTGCAGGGGTCTAGCGATGGCTAGCGGGGGAGACTTGAGCTTTAGGGTTAACCATGTGGCTAATTGACCTTGTGTCTTGGGCATGGCCCTGCATTAGCAGGTCTGTGCACAAACTGCGTTCATAGCTCCTCTCCAAATTGCCCACAGTTGATCTGGGGTCTTGAGCACTGCCCAGGATTTACCATCTGCCTATGAAGGCTTTGGTGACAGGGACTTACCTGTTCGGATCACGGGTTCAAGCCTTTTGCTAACCGTGGCATGCAGACAGCCCTTCCACAGAGCAGAGCCAGCCCTGAACGAGTCCGGCTTTTGTCTCCTCCCTTTACTGGACTTGCCTTTGGCATCAGCTGACTGCACCAAGCACTCGAGAACATAATTTACCATAACTCTGGCTTTGCCGCTCCTTCCTTAGGAACTTCTCTCCCTGCAAGACATTTTCAGCTTCCCTGGGAAGTGGCATGCTTTCCTACAGGAACGTGTAATTCATTTTCGGCATTGAGGAACAGACATGGTTCCCAGAGCCCAAGCAGAAAAAAACTGCTCTGAAGGAAGTTCTCACAATGAGGAGAGGTTGGGCTGTTAACTTGTGATTAGCCATCAACGTCCCGCACTAGTATCTTAAAACAATTATTTTAGGCTTGTGCCACTATTTGTTCTCAAGTAAAGTAAGTGCCATCTTCTAAGGAGTTAGGGTTTTGCAGCAGTGACAGTAACACAGCCAAAACGCCAACCAGTCACCGCTGGTCCTGGATTTACTCTGCGGTTGTAGAAGTGTAACAACCCGCATTTCCCTCAGCAGTGGTAGAAGTAACCCATCAAAACATTAATTTCACATTTTCCAGTAGCTTAGAACATCTTCAAATGAGCAAATCTACATGTTGTTGGATCTTGTCAAACTTGTACTTTTTTGTTGGTTTTGGCCTTCAGAAAATAAAGAATCTGTTCACTCGTCACTGGCTTTTTTTTTTTCTGTTTTTAAACTTATACCTGTACTGAAGGTTTTCCCAGCGGTCTGCCCGCAGACAGAAGCACGTGCAAGTGACGGGCCTTATCTTTTCCTAAAGCATTTGAGAGGCGAGAGATCATAGGTAGGACTTAGTACCTGCTATTACTAATAGTAAAATTTTGAATTTTGACCTGAGGCAAGGAGGGCTGGAAGCCCGTTGCCAGCCTCCTCTAAGGGCGCCCCAGCCTCGCAGTGCGGAGGTGGGAATTGAAGCTGGGCCACCGTGCATTAAAGCGGTGCTGGGCAGGACAGAGACAGCAAGCAGGCGTTTTGCAGCAAAAGCAATGCTGGGGTACAGCTCCTACTCCGCAGCGTGAAATCGCCATGGGATAAAACTCACTGGCAGCCTCAGTGCAGAAACAGCAGTGGAGGAAAAGGCACCTCAAGCCTGGCCTCCCAATTACAAGGTGACCTGCACACGGAAAATCCGGGCTTGCAACCGGGAGGAGGGCATAACCCATCATTTTTTACAAGCTGTAGAGTCTGGAGCAGTTCTGAGCATTTCAGAAACCAAACTGCCGGTATCTGAGACAACTTGCACAAACAACAAGGACATACGTATAGATGGCTCCAGGCTTAGGAATCTGCTGAGCAGACACATTTTACATGTCAGTCACGGACTTGCAGCCTCTTAATATACCTATTTTAATTAAGATGATAACTTTATGGATTGAGGATTCTTTTATCTTCTTGCAGGTGGTGGCGATATTAGCGGAAAGTAAGATTTATGATTCAGCCATTGGGAAACGCAGACTGGGTTAGACAGATTAAGTGCAGAGTATTTGGCCTAGATTCCGACAGATGTAAATCCACTGAAACGACGACACAAATTGGACAGTCTGTGCCCTCCGCTTTTCCCTAATTTAATGCTTTACTAAAATCAAATAAATAAAGACATATTAAATATGTTCAGCAGAACTGCTGTACTTTGAATGTATGAAATGCCCTTTATAACCAACCTGCACTTGAGTGTAAAACAGTAAAATGTTTTTATATACCAAAACTAATCCAGGTCTTTTAAACAGACAAACATTGAGCAGCATCAGCGTGAAGGCAGCCTATTTTTACATCAACCTGCAGCAAAAGACCGCACACTACATTTCATCTGCATATGAAGAAAAAAGGCCATTCTCTTTCCTTACTCTATATATATTTTTTTTTTTTACTTCTTTTTACATAATTACAGATTGTAAACAAGACCCACTCAGAGGCCTGCGAATCATGCCAATTTGGCCAAGAGCTGGGATTAAAGTAATCTCCGGCACTGAGCAGAAGGAAGGAAAGAACAAGCAGGGCAAGGTCCGTGTCCCCCCCTGCCCCCAGGCTGGCCCACGCAGCAACATGTGCCCACCATTTATTATTTCTTCCGGAATGACCAACAAACGGGCAGGAAAGGGACGACTCGATACAAATTCTAATAAAGATTCAGGATTTCTCATTTTATTGCATTCGTTGTCTAACAACAATAATACTCATTGGCAAGAAATTTATTTACACTAACAAATTAACTTTAAACCACAAGGCTTTGTTGTTTGTATTTAAACTGTAAGAAAACAAAGGGCCACCATGATGTTTTGTTTTGATGTCTCCCGATAACTAAATATTAACCAAAGTTATTTTGGGGAAAACTCAACAATCTAGAGAACTTCATATCAACCAAGCACAAGAGAACAAGCTCAGACGTGGCACTACTGTGTCTTTCATGCAGATGATCAGACACCAAGATGTACAAACAAAAAGTTCAGGATAACATGCACTTCATATACATTTGACCGCTTTAAAAAAAGAAAAAGGAAAAAATCTGAAGCGCAACCACCTCTTCAACCATATAAAAAGAAACAATGTAAGAAGCCAATTTTTACAGTGAGCACAGTGCATTTTAGTCTTTTAGCTGCCTGGTCTTCTAGCAATATGTCTTTAACACTTGTCCGTGACCAGTGAGTTACCATTGCAACATGACTGGAAAATACGAAAGCAGTTGTTCAGACAGTAAATGTGGATGGGAAAGTACAGAGTAAGAAGAGGTTCACTGTGCACGCCCCATTTCCAAATGGGCTAGTTACTCCTTACATCTGGTGCCCTGGGATCCCCCTTTCCTTCAGATGCTTCTGCACCGGGGCCTGAACCCGCTCCCAGCGGTGTCAGGGACGAAGCTCCCACTGAAAACCCGGCGGGAGGCTCGGGCTCCCGGGTTAC